TTAACACATCGACATCTATTCTTCATATCGAGTTTCGTTTACTTTCTCCCTCCTCTCTCTCTCTCGCTCTTTCCCGCATCTCCTTCTCATAATTTGGGTGTTGGGACGAACTGTAACGCGGTTTATGAGGTAAGTTGCGAGTGCAAGGCTGGAATACGGAAGTGGCTCGAAGGCGGGAAAGTGGAAGGAGCACCGTCGGGAATGCCGAGTCTCTCGGAAAGAGACTCGCGCAGCGTGCGCGCGGAGAAACCCGGGAAGCCCGCGGGAAATGAAGGAAGGAAGGAAGGAAGGAACGGTGGGAGGGAGGAAGGGAGAGAGAGGGAGGATAGGCAATGGAGTGGTTGCGCTCGGTGTCGCGGTGGTACTAATTAGACCTTAACAATATTAGTTCAGGTAAGACGTCTATATAGAACCCGGGGGTAGCCACCGCCAGCCACCCGTGCTTTCTTACGGAAATCCAGTGGCTTTCGGTAATAGCGGCTTGCGAGCGTAAACTCCGTCAGAGACAGAAGGGTTGCGGCAGTTGGGGGGGTTGGCCGAGGGGGAAGGGCGGTCGGGGGTCGTGCTGGCGGTGGCGTCGGCAGGACGAACGCTCAAATATCGCCTAATTAAGCACATTCGAGAGTTTCGAGGAATAATGTGTAGGTACCCGCCACGAGAAAGTTTCGACCCATTGAGAGGAAATGCCCCGCCCTCTCCCATCGTCTTCGCCGTCGTCACCATCGCCGTTTCTCCGCACCGTCGCGCTCCTTGGGAGCAGACCTCTCGTTGACACGGGACGGTTTAAGCTCGACTAATTGCACGAGACAAGATTTCGAGCGTTTGCTCTTGCACAAGCTACATGACATCTACAACGCGTATCGGTGAATAAATGTCCGCATCTAAGGCTCTAGCGTTAATAACGTTTGTTTCTTGTAAACTTTTACGCTTGATATATTTGCCCTGCTTTCATTTTCAGTGGTAATTAACTAATCAAAGTGATCCTACAAGTTGGTCAGATAAAGATTCCTTTTTTTCAAGAGTTTAACTAGAAATATATAAATAATTGAAAAAGTCCCAAAGAAAAATAAAAAGAATATCCACAAATAAATGCAAAAAAAGTAATAATGCAAATAGATATGTTTGCGCAAAGTGCTTAAATTAATATATTTTCTAGATAGTAAACGTAATATTAAAACTGACTTAAAGGGGCTACTGATAAGAAACAGCATTCTCCAGAGAGCTATGAGAAATGCTTCCAATGTTCTAATTTTAATGAAATTTTAATGATACTCAGAAGATCTATGGAAATGGATAGCTTTGTAAATTTTATCGTGATGAAATGTTTCATAAAATCTTTTAACGATTAAATTTTACACAAACTTAATTTTAATGCCAACAATATTATTTTAATACCATTTAAAAATCAACAGATTTCATTCCTTTCTAGCAAGCTTCGTATCAAAATTCGATTCATAATTATTTCAAGAAAAGTGTTGCGTACAATTTATTGTCAAAACGCAGGTTTCGAGCAAAAACTGTTAATTAAATTTTAAACATGTTTATATTCGATTACAATATTCGATTCTACATTATACATTGATACCATTGAATATTGCCAAATTACCTTTATATTTTATATTTTAATACGCATAATTAATAAGTATAAATATATTTATGCTCATACAAATATTTAATGCAAACGATAATATTAAAAACTGCAACATTTATTAACCTACATTTATTAACCTACATTCTTTCTTATTTCAGATGCGATAAGAAATACGTTAGCTAATAGTGCACATGCTATTCCTACTAGAAAAAATTATTAACAATAGAATTAATGATCTGTGTTAAATTCCATTGTAACTACTAAATAACAATTTGACATTTCAAACAAATAATGTAATTTGTATTAGTACACATATATAGATGTATGCTTCTGTTTAGCTGTAAAATTTACAACGCGCACGCAACAATATATTGAATGTAGTCACTTCTCTGATTCTGAAAACGCACAGGGATAAATGAGTATGTATGTATTTGAGAGAGTAATAACTAATATTTAATTTTTTTTTATTCAAACAGAAAGATTGCGTGATATACTAAACGTACAAATTTGAGATTACAAGATGTTGTGTAAAATTATCTATACAACTGTTTGTGTCAAATAATTTCATCATCAAGTTACAAATGCAATTCTTCGTATTGAGAAGAATTATAAACGGTGGAAACGCTGAGAGAGGAAAAAAAGTCCAATCGATACGGTGAATAATCTTTAACAGTTCGTTTCTTGATAATTCATCGGCGCGAAACGAGCAGGTGTGTTAAAGCCAAAAAATACTTCCCAGTCGATTCGTACGAGCGCAACGGGGAAACTGCCGTGCCTTCATTGTTTCAGTTTCTTTCCGGCATTACAAAAGAAACGCCGTGGATGGAAGCTCGTAGTCGGAGGCTCGAGACCGACTCAATTACAGTCGCTGAGCGACGCGATAATTGGGATCAAGATTGATTGTCTTCCTTCCTTTCGCGCTGACCTCCCACAAATACAAGCTACTCGGAACGCTACATTTTCTTTTTTCCCGTCTCACATAAATAAACCAGTGCGAAAGACAAAATGCGATCCGTCTAGACGGAACACGCTTCTAAATTTATTTCTTCAAATTATCGTCACATAAATTTTAGCATAAAATAAACCCAAGTCCTATTTCAGTATATATAATTACGTATTCAGATCAAATCAATTTCATCAGAGATGAGAAACATCAGAAAGGCTTTATTAATTTATTATTTTTAAGATTTCCGATTTAAGAACAAATTGTACATGTATCCTTTAGAGTTAATTTGTTTAGTAACGACAAGTTCACATAATCTTTCGTCGTTTAAATACAGGAAGAAGAAGTACAATGACAAATTAAGAGCTTATACGAATTCTGTAATGTGTTGTAAGTATATGTAAAATAGTGCAAAATAACATTTTCATTTTACGTTAACGTCGTTTATTCAAGTCAAGCGACACAAAAAAATTTTATCGACATCATTATCAATATCTGACTCAAAATTATGAGGATATAAGAAATAAAAAGTAGTATGGTAGTAAACCGCGCGATAATAATTCGTAGCTCGAGAGACTGAGGGCGCTCGGATCATTTTCCCCATCCAGCTGCGGAAAAAAACCTACGCAAAGACATCCGCGAAAACGACTCGACGACGGGGCGGATAGAAGGGAAAAAGCAGAAGGGTGGTGCCAGGCGGGCTTGCGGGATGGGTACTCACTTCATGGCGACGGGAGGTCGATGTCGAGCAACCTTTTTCACCTCGATAAAGCCCTGTCGTCGAAGGTGGCCGACGAACACGATCCTTCAGACCCGGGCTAACCCCGTTTTATAACCTCTCACCCATCTACCACGTCAGCCCCATGTCGCAACTCTGCCGCGCGTACGGAAGCACGAGAGAGCCGAGAGGGAAAGAACGTGTTCTCGCCGTTGAAATGAGCATCGCAGACAGAATGATAGAGAGAAATCATGCGGACCGAGAAGAAGGGAAAGAAAGAAGGCGAGGAGAAGAAGTTAGGTAGATAAGAGGTGCGAAGGGGAGAAGGGGCGAAATGTGTATGCCGTCCGTTGAGCCGTGCAAGGGCTGGCTGCAGGACGGGTAAAGCGAGATTACTAGGATTTGCGCGTAGATTTGCATATCGATTTTCTCGGCGAAACAGTGTCGTATGGTGCGGCAAAGTCCCCGCACACGATTTGCCTTAATTTCGCCAAGGGAGGTATCTGCCACATTAACGTGTTGGCTGTTTCACGACATGGCGATGTAGTTTCGAATCTAATCACACGATTCCAAATTACCGGTAACTCTCGCCAAAAATTGGGCGAAGAAACGCGCCTTTAAGCGTAGCGTTGAGAAAAAGGAATTTTTCAGAAAAGAAAATACTACCTTTGATTTTTCTCATACCACGATCTTCTCGAAACGAGAAAAATCTTTTTACATTGTATCGAACTTGACAGTATTATCATTATGCTTGTACGAAATATAGGTATTATTTGTCAGAAAGAAGAGAGAGAGAGAGAGAGAAA